TATTATTGTTTTCTTATAAACATCCTGATGCTGATTGTTTTGAGTTCTTTATGGCCCAATAAGGTCCCCTTTCATATCGATGGAGGTCAGCCTTCCTACTTAATCATTGCTGGTTTGGTGTTTACCCCACTCTCAGAACCACTGATAGAGTATGTGACGCTCATTTCTGGCACTGAATACATTATTTTAGTAATAAACTTCTTGTGCTAACTGCTCACTAACCATTTCTTATGTTCTTTTGGCAGTGAGGAGTGTGAAGACTCTATAGGAGTAAGTAGTGACCCACAGAGGAAACTCCTAAGCACAAAAGCCCTGTTTAACTAGTTTTTTCTTTTTCGATTGCTGACCAGATTGCACACTTATGGTTTGGAAACTGATTGGTTTTTGGTTTCTCTTCTGGTCAGTTGAAACTCTTGGCAAAGGCACGCTACTCTTTGGCTAGGTTCAAAGGGGAACAGATTGTGATCTTATCACAGGTTAGTTCCATACAATACATATTCCTTTAGCAATATACATCAAATTTTGAGATTGTGTTGTGGTTATTAAAGCCAATATTTAACGTGTAGCTTCTTTCATTTTTGTCCTCTCTTGCCCTCCCTGTAATATATTATGCATGTTAAGTTGTACGAAAGGAGAATCATCCTTTTCATCACTCTTTGTTTCTGAAAATTTTAAACTGTTGCCGTTTTTTCTTATTTTTGGATTCATCTTCTATAGGTCTTAGCAAATGAAGTGAACATAGGGTATGAGGATATGAGCAATCAGCAGGCAAGTTATCTGTTTCTGTTTACATTTTTGGCATGTCTCTGCCAACCATATGGTTGCACTAACAAAAAATTGATTTCAGGTTTTGAAGTTAAATGGAACACAAATAAGGAACATTCATCATTTGGCGTACCTTGTAGATTGTAAGTGGTAGCACCACTTAAATATTTCCTGTTCAATTTATGCCATTCTGATTCTCATGGTTGTGCTGTGCTCTTAATCAGCATGCAAGGACAAGTACTTAGTCTTTGAATTTGAAGACAATTATATAACAGTTTTGGAAAGGGAAGCAGCTACAGCTGCTTCTTCCTGCATTCTCAAAGATTATGGGATACCGTCTGAAAGGTCTTCCGATCTGTTGGAACCCTACGTGGATTCACTTGGAGACAACCAAGCAGTCGATCAGGACATCGGCGACAGTCCGGTTTCAAATTTGGAAATTGGCTTTGATGGAATTATTTGGGCATAAATTATAATTTGCTTATATCCCGGAGGAATACAAAGTCATCGGTAGAAAGATGATGGTTATTGCAGGCCAACAATTATTTAAAGATTGGCTCCCCTCTCACGCCATGACAAGGTGTTCCTCTTTTATTATTTACTTTGAGTTTTTTCAGTTTGGTTTTATTAGTTAGTGTAACAATTTTCCTCATCTGTTAGAATCTAATAATTTGTATCCATAAGTTTGCTTCAGTCAGCTGGCAATCAATTCTTGTAATTTATTTACTGTAACAAAATAGTAAAAAGCCATTTGTTATTAATTATTCGTCTACATTGCAGCAAGCTTTTTCACT